GGGGAGCTCCTGCGCTCAGGGTCCGCTGGATTGCCGTAAGGTTGACATAATTGTCGTAACCTTCCATGTAAACGTTACCTCAAGGACCCAATGCCTTCTTTGCCGGTGCACCTGTCAAGGAGAGTTAGGTAACCTTGTGCGAAGGGTTCTGCTTTGGGATTCTTCCTGAATATTTGCTCCAGAATCCCTTATTTCATTAACCTCCTGTACCCAAAAGGTAGGTACAATTCTAAAAGTCTTAGAAAGCCCTACCTTTGTGATTTGTGTTGACATACCCAGCTTCCCTTGACGCGCTTGTCTCTCAGCTCTACGGAGTCTTTTGAACTGGAAACTCAAGGAACATTCTTTCAAATAGTCAGATTGCTGCATCACACCTCCAGTCTCCTAGATGCTGAAACAGAACCAAAAAATTCATTGCCTATTCCCCTAAGAGTGAGTGTCCTCATCAGTCTTGTGTAGATGAACAGTAGTGGTCAGTTTCATTCTAAGATTCTCCTCCTTTCCTCACCAAGTGGACCCGCCCCCCCCCCCCCACACACACACTCAAACACAGCACAAAACCAAATTAGCCAAGAAAAAAAAAAAAGCTGCACTTAGTAAAACTCTTCCCCAGGATTTAACTATGTTATGGACCTGACTGTTCCAGGGGTCCTTCAAGAGAAGGGGTGTCTGTAAAAAGCATTTTTCATCTTTGTAAAGTTGGGGGAATGCTTTCTATATTCTGAGGATATTCCCAGAAGCCTAAGGTTATTTCATACAAGGAGCTATCAAAAGACTTTTAAATGATGAAAGCAAGCAACACTAATGTGAGCAGGGTGCTGAGTAAGCTCTTTAGTTTCTGATTTTTAAGCAGAACTTGGACCCTTTCATTTGGACTGCGGCATGCTGGGAACCAGTCTGAATAATGACCAAAGAGAGGAATTCAACACAATCAGGCCTTTGATTTCTGCACCCTACATTTCAAGGGCAAGTTAGTTATTCAAGTATCTAAAAACAAACAAACAAATAAACAACCAAGCTAACAAACAAATCTCCTTCCTTGTGGAGGTTTTTGAGTTTGGAAGTTACTCAAATACTTCCCTTAAGCATCTAAAGAATACCTCTAAATATAACAGCTACTTCAAAACAAGTAGCTTTTTCTTGGCAGTGATGACATAGCATTACTCTGCTACTATACTACATTTTTAAAATCCCAGCTAAATGAAGGGTAAATTTCCTTAGTTTCCTTTTTTTTTTAAACAGATGGCAGGCTCTATTTACCTCATGCTGTTATTGTGGAAATCAAATGGGTACACATTTAGAACATGTCATTTTGGTACCAAGAATATTTTGATACAACCTTAAAAAATAAGTAATAGAATGTGTTCAGCTTTTACGAAACGTTATCCAATATTATGTGAAACAGCCATTCACTTGTCCTGAAACTCACTCTGTCATTGACCTAATCCCTCAGCTTCACTTTATCCTTCATCTCATTCCTGACTCACCTGTCCCTTCAATCTAATTTTGTGGTTGAGAGAGACTCAGGATGGAATGAAGGTAAAGGATGGCTATTGTGTACATAGCATTTCTTGCCAAAAAGAAAAAAGACATTTTACCTCCCTGCCATTTAGACTCAATATGACTGAATTCAATGGACAATGAACCTAGGAACATGTTGTGTTTCCGATCAAATGAGTGGTGGAGCATTGAGTAAACTGTAAAGCATGAATTAGTTTACATTCTTCAGTCTTATGGATTATTCCACTGGACTTAGTATAAGTCTGGGAATGGAATAATCTTAAGTCCATTTATTCATTCATTTAACAATACTTGTTAAACATCTGAAATGCACCATAGTCTCTGAGTATACAAAGACAAGTAAGACACAAGTCACCGCCATTCTGATAGCATAATTGAGAGAAAGGACAACAACATCAACAACTATTTGGATAATAGATTTCATATGAAGCACATTGTCCTCATTTAAATATAAATGAATAAATAAGCACAAGAGTGTGTTACGGGTTGTTTGTGTATGTGCAAAGTTCAGGTGAAATCCAAATAATAGAATGAATGGTCAAAGAAAGTTTCAAAGGGAAGATGGCTCTTTTATTAATAATAAAAAGATTAAAATATTTAATTATTATGTATAAGCACACTAGACACATTGAATAAAATGAAAACTAATATTGAAATTACAAGACAAATGAGTTTGACACATTAAATGATCATACAATAGGTAACATACAATGCATAGTGAGTTTGTCAATGTGTCTTGTATATTTGTAAACACACACAGATCAATTGTGGTGTGCCCATTCACTGGTGAAGAATATGTCTTTTGAGCAAAGTCTTGGAGATAGAGCCACTTGAAGGATATTTTCATTTATTACAGAAAAAAATATTATACTAATTATTACTGTTTATTTTATTATGGACAATTTCAAAGACAAAAATAGAGAAAATATTGAAATGAGCACAAGTGAATCCATTACCTGACTTCAATAATCATTAACTCATTACCATTCTTTTTATTTTATATTCCCAGGTACTTCATACCCCCAATGGATTATTTACTCATAAAAACCACAGGTTTCATGTCATTTCATCCACAGTTATGTCAGTAAGTGTATCTAAAAGATAAAGATTATTATTTTCTAACAGTTCTGCAAAACCTTTAACACATACATAATAATAATAATAATAATAATAATACCGTAGTATCATCAAATATACAGTCAGAGTTTAAACGTCCCCATCTATCTTCCACTATAAATATCTTTACAGCCGGGCTTGGTGGCTCAGCCTGTAATCCCACGCCTTTGGGAGGCTGAGGTGAGTGTATTGCCTGAGCTGCGGGTTCCAGACCCGCCTGGGCAGACCTCATCTCAACAATAAAATCACAAAATCAGCCGGGTGTGGTAGCGCATGCCTGTAATTCCGGCTGCTTGGAAGGCTGAGGCGGAAGGATCGCCGGAGCCCAGCAGGTCAAGGCTGCGGTGGCCGGAAGCGGCCACTGCGCTCCAGTCTGGGCGACAGAGTGAGACTCCAACTCAAAAAAAAAAAAAAATCTTTACAGTTGGTTTACTTGGACTGAGATCCAAGCAAGGCTATGCATTGTATTTGGATGGCCTGTGAACAACACATATGAGTGTAAGACTGGAAAGGCAGATGTTGCAAGGTTTTCTTGCCTTTCCAGGTGAGATAATTGCTTCTTCCAAATACTGTGCACATTTCCAATATCGCATGTATCCTATTGTGCTGCTTTTTGTAGAAATTTTCTTTATGCTTACTTCAAAAATAATAAATATACATTGAAGGAAAAATTCTGAAATTTTAAGCAAAAAGGGGAAAAATCATCTGAAAGAGATAATCCAGGCTAACTTTTGAAATATGCCCTTTTGTTGCATGTTTTTTCTAAGAAAATATTTTATATATTTATTTATAATATTGTATCTCTCACTGCAGTTATATGCTTACACATCTGGCTATCTATCCCCACTAGACTGTGAATTTTTCAAGAAAAAGGGTCTTGTTTCACTCATCATTGACTTCCCAGTCCTTCTTACAGTGTCTGGAAATCTATCTGCTTACATAAATTAAGTGATGGAGGGTTGCTTGTTTATCTTTGGTCTTCAAATGCCAAGACTATGATGAATGTCCCACACTGATGAATCATGGCACTGTCAGTATGATTCCACTTAGCATTTTCTTTACAAAAGAGTAGTCTTGCAGAAGCATGTTCATGAAAGGCCTAAAAATAGAAAGCCTGAGCTGGCCAAGGTCCTCAAAACTACAGAGGTATAGGAACGGATCTGTTGCTGTGAAAGAGGTTGACACAGGATGCCAGCACTAGAGGCAGCTACTGATATAGACAAAGAAAGAAATGTGAAATCTGGAAATCATCATCAGAAGGAAGCTAAAATAATCAAGGATAGTGGAAATGAACAAATATCAAGCCTAAAACAGTCAAGGAAAGTCAAGTCATGGAAAAGAAAAGAAAAGGGCACATGAATAAGGAAAATGGGCCCTAACAACAAGATGGTATAGCCACCAGCAGAGTGGAAAGTGCCAGAAATGAAGTTGAGAGTGGGTGGAAGAAGAAGGTAACTGGGCAGAAATCATTTCTTATTCACTTATCTTACTTGTACCGTGTTTGAACCAGATGGGATCAATTACCTGCCCCAGGAGTTGTGGGAGAAAGATGTGAGATCCAATGCTTGAGGCCTCCCTCCAGAACCCACAAGGATAGAGTAGTTTTTCAGAAGAAATCAAAGTGTATAAGGCAAACAAAAACCAGAAACAGTATTTAAGATGAATTACACATTATTGAGTGAAAATATCAGGTTGCCTATCAGCAGTGTGATTCCTTTTTTTTTTTTTTTTTATTTGTAGTCTCACTCTGTCATCCAGATTGGAGTGCAGTGGCATGCTCACAGCCACTGCAGTCTGACCTGCTGGGCTCAAGCAATCCTTCTGCCTCAGCCTTCCAAGCCACTGGAACCACAGGTGTGCACCACCACATCTGGATAATTTTTTGATTTATTGTAGAGATGAGATCTCACCAAGTTACCCAGGCTGGTCTCGAACCCCTGGACTCAGGCAATTCTCTCACCTTGGCCTCCCAAAGTGCTGGGAGTATAGGCGTGAGCCACTGGCCTTCCTTTTTTCTTTTTTTTTTGACTCGGAGACTCACTCTATCATCCAGGCTGGAGTGCAGTGGCATGCTCATGGCCACCGCAGCCTCGACCTGCTGGGCTCAAGCGATCTTTCCTCCTCAGCCTTCCAAGTAGCTGGAACTACAGGCACGTGCTAACACACCCGGCTAATTTTTTGATTTATTGTAGAGATGAGGTCTCACCGAGTTGCCCAGGCTTGTCTTGAAACCCTGGGCTCAGGCAATCCACTTGCTTTG